ATACTCACAACACTAACAAATACTCACAACACTAACAAATACTCACAAAAACAGTCATCTCCACAGTCTGTGTGTGCCAGCGCAGCTTCATCTGAAATACACATTGAAGAAGGAATTAATCTTTTGTCTTGTGGTCACTAAATAAACACAATATCATTATATAGACTAAATCATTTAACTTACCTTACACCACCTGGTCGGTTGTCTCCTCCATGGTTTCTAACAAAGAAGTGGCTGAAACTTTAGAGAAACTTTATGGTTACACAGTTTGCAGTTCCCCTTTAATATTCTCCTAAGCTAAACTACTCAGGAGGGACTGGACTTCCATGTCGGCCCATCTGTCAAAGGGTTTCTTCTGTGGCTCCATAATGTTGATATACTTTAACAACTGTATAAGCAGCTACAGTTTTCAAAAAGTATTGGCTGGATGAGGGCCTGCAACATTCACCTGCATGCATGTATGTGCATGTATGTATGTGTGTGTGTATGTGTGTGTGTGTAGCCATGCCCTATATGTCACGGTTGTGTAAAGCAGGTGAAAATGTAAAATAAGAGGCAGACCTGGCAGGAAACAAACAGGCGAACTCAAACTGTTCAGGAAAAACAAGGCAGGATAAGGAACTTGAAGCTGAAAGAGACTAAACAGACGAACTGAACTCAGGACAAACAGATGAAACAAATCAAGACAACAATCCACACTGGAGGGAAAGACAAAGGCAGGAAGTAAAGTGCACAGAGACACATGAGAGAGAACTTCAAAATAAGAACAGGAAACTTCAAACTACGACAGATAACCATGACACAAGAGTGCACAACTGATCAGGTGTGTCCAGCACTGCAGGCCCCTCCTCAAGGTTCAGGTACTTTAGTGAGGAATTACCACATGACCACCAGGGACTTTTGGAGGGGCAAAAAGATTTTCACAGAACCCACGCCTGGAACTTAATTTAGATGTTAGATCATCGGTGGCATTCATCATTTTCTCATATTTAATACTGATTTTGAAAAAACTTTGAGGCGTGACGCAGACATTTCACCTCACTCTTGTTCATGGTGACCCCCACTGTCTGTATGACAAGTTTCAGAAGATTTGAATGTTACTATCTTTTGTCTTGCGATTGGAACACATGTCATATTTTTTCATTGCAGCAAACACACACCGACCATAGAATTTACTGTAAATAACGAAGCTCGCACTGTTAACGCTGCTGCGCCACTAGGTGGCGTTATAAGACCACGGTGCATTTACTCCCATGTGACTGTTGAGTGGAACCCAGTGGTTCACTGATAGTAGTTATTTTATTACTGTTTTATTTCTATTAATTTTAATAATAGTATTTGCATTTTTTTGAAGCC